TCAGTTGACAAATACTTGTCTAGTCCCTACTATGTGGCAAGTCCCAGGGATTCAGAGACTATGTCATCAGGGAGCACTACTGTTCATCACAGTATGGATATACCGAATTTAGCATTCTCATTTTGATGAATGTGTAGGTTTCTCCCCAAGGACAGATGAGGGAATACTGACTCAAAAGTCTCTTGCCAAGTATCATGAAACTGTTTTCCAGGAAATGGGACCAGTTTATAGCCTAACAGAAGTGTATGACAGTGTTGGCTTGCTAATTTGGTAGATGGAAAATTTCAGTTTTCATTTGCATTTTTTATATTACTACCGAGATTGAATATTTTTTCTTGTTTATTAGCCAGTTGTATTTTTTCTGTGGATGGTTAAAATTATTTGCTTTAGCTCAGCTTTTAATAAGGTTTAGTTTCATTTTTTCTTATTTATTGGCATAAAGACAATATATTGTGGATTTTTTTGCTTTTGTAGCTTCTGTTGCAAATATTCTTTCCTATTTGCTTTTCGCATCCAATTTTTTTTTTTTTGTGACTCCGTGGACAAAAGTTTTATTTTATAAAGGTTTCATTTCAATGAAGTCAAAGCCTCCATTTGTTTTCTCCTTTGTTATTTCTTTTATTGTGTTGATGCATATAAAATCCTTCCCCAAATCAAGATAAGATAAATAATCATCTGTTTACTTTGCTATTGGTTTTGTTTTTAGCATCAAACTTTTTAACCCACCTGAAAAACATTTTTGTAGGGAGTAAAGAAAGATTTAACTTTATTATTATTTTTTCCAAAATTGTGCTTACACAAAGTATAGAATGACCCTTCGTTGCTCATGGTATCTGATGCCACACGAACTTTGTCTCCATTTCTCCATGCGAAGTCCTGCTCTTGATTTACATTGTTTACTTTCATCGCTGATCCACTCCTATTTTATATGTTCATAGGTATCCACTTTAATGTGTTTGATTCATTACCTTGAATAATATATACATCCTTATAAAATAGAATGGTAAAATCACCCAGATTATTCTGTTTCTAGTCAGATTATTCTGTTATTAGTCAGTCTTACTACAGGTGGGTCTATTTTGTTTATTTTTTCAAATAGTCCATTTTTTGGTTTATTAATCTTCTCTATTTTATTTCTGTGGCTTCCGGTTATTATTTCTTTCCCTTATATTTCACTGGACCAATTCAATCTTTTTCTCAGTTACACAAATTCAAAGTTTTGTTCATTTTCTTTCAATTTCTTATTCCCTCATAAATTTATTTAAAGCTATAAATTCTCTTTGGTGGTACTACTTTGCGTTTCATAATTTTATCCCAGAAGCATTTTTAATGTTGTTCAATTCTAAGCATACTTAATGTTCCTTAGATTTCTGCTTTAACTCAAGAGCTACTTTAGTCAAATATATTTTGGCTTTCAGACATAAAGAATAATTTTCATTAATAATATGCTTTTATTATTGCTTTCTAATTTTATTGAATATGATTGGTAAGATATTAACTCTTTGTAATTTATTAAAGTTTACTTTGTGATTAATTTTTATGAATGTTCTGTATTTGCTTGGAAAGCCTGTGTAATCTCTGCTTGGTTTATATTTAATTTTAATTTTATTAATTGTTTTTTCAAATGATCCATACATTGGTGGTAGTGGTTGTTAGGTTTTGTTTGTCTGCTTGATCTATCCGTTTCTGAAAAGGATATGTGAAATATCTAACAACAACTGTACCTTGTGTTTCTCCCTGTAGTTCTGCCAGCTGTTGCTTTATTTAATGGAGAGGTGTTCATAGTCATTATGTTTTATTGAACTTGGTTTCTTTTTCTAATGTGTAATGTCCCTCCTTATCCCTTGTGCTTTTCCATCTCAAATTCCATTTTGTCTGAAAACAATCTCTTTTTATCTTTTTAAAAAGTTTTTTAACTTTTTAAATTATTTAACTTATTTATTTATTTAGCGATAGGGTCTCACTATGTTGCTCAGGCTGGAATCAAACTCCTGGGCTCAAATGATCCTCATACCTCAGCTTCCCAAGTAACTGGGACTATAGGTATATGCCACCGTGCCTGGGTTGACAACAAATATTTCTAAGTAATTTACTTTTCTTTACCTTTTGTTTATTTTGTAGCATCCTTTTATATCTTTTGTTCAAGAGTTTTTTTTTTAAATGGGTTTTTGTATGATAAACCTTCTAAGTCTATTTTATTGCATCGTCACATAGAAAAGATAGTTTACCTGGATATAAATTTCAACATAACACATTCAGGTTTTTTGTTTTTAATCTTTTTTGGCATTCTATAAGGACTTTCAAGCTAAAAGAATTTCCTTAATTCTGTCAATTTTCTGTCATCCCTTAAACATTGCTTGCCCTCTGTTTGCTCTGTTTTCTCCTTCTTGTACTCCCATTATATGCATGTTGACATTTCCACGTCTATACTTCTTATTTCTCAACTTTCCTTATTTATCTCCATCATGTTGTCTTTTCTGGGTATGATATGGCAGAATCCACCATACTTGATCTCCCAGCTCAGCAATTTGTTCAAATGTATTCCTTGAGGTATTAGCCTCAATTATTGACATATTTAATTCCAGCTATCATGATTTTTTTGCAATCAGATTTTCCACTTGGTTCTTCCTTATTCTGTCAGTTCGTAAATTTTTTACCAATATTGGTAAAATTACCAATATTGGTAAATTTTGTTTTACCAATATTGTCTCATATTTACTTGGAGGTTTTTATGCTTATTCAGCATTTATTACTTATCTACTATATTAATTCTGTTTCTGTTTCTGTTTCTTCCCTATTTGTCATTTTTCCTTAGTAGTGATGGTCTTTAGGTGTTTTTTTTTTTTTATTTGTTTGTTTGTTTTTTCACTTTTTGGCATCAGCTTCTGTATTTGGCAGTGTGTACTGGGGAGTGGTCAGTATACCAGGGCTGTGGTGGGGTCAGGTCGCTGGAGGTGGTGGAGCTCCCTTTTGAAGGTTGTTCAGAAGACGGGGCCATTATCTCTGCCCAGCAGGGAAATTGTTCTTTTGTCCTCTTCCATTAATATATAACTATGTATTATTTGATCAGATAAATTCTGTTCTAGTTTGACACACACAAGTGACTTTCTGGGCTTACCTGAAGGCACACATAAATTTATTTAAATGTGAGCCCATAAGAGGGTTCAGCACAAGGGAGGGCAGACCTAGAGGATTGGAATCCACACCTCAGATAATGCAGAGGGCAGTAGTGGGAGGAGGGATTCTGAGAGCATCTAGGCATAGAGGGTGACTGGATATTGAGAGCAGCGGTGAAAACACATACTTGACTCTGACACTTAATAGCTATGAAACTCTGGGCAAGCATCTTATTGTTGTTGGGCCTCAGTGTTCTTATCTGGAAAATGGGGCCAAAATACTGACCTCAGAATGTTGTTGTTAGAAGTGTATGCGATAATATATATAAAGTCTATGAGTTTCTAGCATGGTGCCTGGTCCTCAATAGTTGTTTAATAAATTGGAGATCTTTCCCCCAAATATTTCTCAATCATTTCCCTTTCCATTGGAAAGTTATAAACCTGGGCAAGAGAAAGAAGAAAGCTATCAGTTTTCAGTGAATATAAATGTCTTTACATTTCACTTACTATTTGTTTCTACTTATATCCCAACCGTGTTTAAGTTATTGTGCAAGTCACACTTTGCAATTACATTGGTACATAGGTGTCTGAAATTCAAGGAAAACCTATCTTCAAATATGCCTTCCTCTTTTGCCCTGTTCCTGTTCACTTTAGTCCAAGTATTTTTCTTTCCAGAACAGTCTCATTTTGTCCTGCACTGTGATCCTAAAGTGTACTCAGGGGAAGGGTAGAGGTAGTCAGTCCCTTTTGTATAAAGCATTTACAGCTTCTATTCTAAGAGTTTCATGGTGAATTTTAGTTACCTATTCTTTCACCCTTCTTTTGCACTTGCTGTAAAAAGCTGCTATTGTTGTTTTTCTCAGTACTCTTGTGAACATTGGGAACCACTCTATTGTCAAAATCTTTGTAGCGGGCTTCTGGCTAGTCTTTGAAAGGCACAGAGAGTTCAGATTCCTAAGGCTGATAGAAACCACTATTTAATCCTTTTCTGTTTGGTGTTATGACTTTCCTCAAAGATGTTATTGTTAATCTCCTTCTTGAGCATTGATCCATCCTTGGAATTTGTGTGGTTTATTCTAATATGTGTGTGTGTTTTCTAAGTTGTCTTCTTTTTTTTATTTCTTCGTGCATGATTCTTAAAAAGTTTTGGACTTTTGAATGGGTACCAGAATTTTAAATGTCATGGACTAATAAAAAAGAAAAATAAATTGAGGATGGATACAGTGTTGCCAACATTTTATTTTGCCATGATTATAACAGAAAAAAAAAAGAATGATGTTGTCTGTCATTATTATTTCCTAAAAGGGCATTTTAATATCCAAACTCGGAAGAAATCTTGAAATAAAGGGCAATGCTTTAAGTGGAATGCAGTGAAAAGAGAACCGTCTACATTGTCCTTTTTCTCCTTTTGCCTGGGACCAGTGAAAACGTCCCCGAAGACATTTGGGAACTGCTGGCTCAAGAGCTCTACCCACAGCCAGCCTCTTAATGGTTTGCTTGAAGCACTTTCCGTTATTCACTATATTCTGTCAAGGTTGTTCCTACCTAGCACTTTCAGCTCTTGCTCCGGCAACATTTAAAGACCTTTCCCCCGGCAAAGGCTTCGCTGCCACACGGGAGAGCCTTGATCATCAATTCTGTTAGGCTGGGTGTCAAAGGAGCTGGTGGTGGCAAAAGCCCAGCAGAGGCAGCAGCTGTTAGCTCTGAGGAAACCGAGCAGCTGTTCACTGTCATTCCAGGGTTACCTCATCATTCATTGTGCACAAAGGTGGCTTTACAATTCTCCTTCATCCTTGTCCTCCTCACCCGGGCTGTGAGAACCCAGCGCCTTTAATCTTGATGTCATTATTCAATGTCTTCACCATTTGTCTTGCTTTCCTTCAGGGCTTTCTGTAAGTTCTTCGTGTCAGACTGTGGAGTGCGTTCCAATGTCAAGCACAACATGCAGGCCTCTGTAGAGAGAAGATTCCTACCCTTTCTGCTTTGATCAGATTTTCTTTCTGAATTCCAACCAGAACCTCTGCAAAACTGTGAAGAAAATGAAGTGCCTAGTGTGCCTGGACTTTTTTCTCTGCACCCTTCATTTCATTTCTACGTACCTTTTCTCCTAAGAGATGGTGGCTTCATGCTGTCATTCTGTCTTCCTCAAGACTGTAAGTAATTGAATAAAACCACTCACACTAAGGGGTTAGGAGTTTAATTACCTCCCTCCTGGAGGCTTTTGCACGCAATGAAGAGGAAAGAGAGGCCAGCTTTAGAGTCTAGAGGATTTAATTCTAGCCATGGCCCTACTTGCTACTATGGGGACTTAAGGAAATTTATATTATTTCTCAGAGACTCTGTTTCTTCATCAACAAAATGAGAATGATAATATTAAATAATAAGGTCTACTTCACAGGCTTGATATAAAAATTAAATGAGATTTTCAAAATGCTTTATCATCTGAGAAGTGTTTCCATCATTTGTTAGTCATTTTTAGGGGTTGTAAATACTAGAAATGTACTTGTGCTAGCTTGAGTAAGGATATTGGATTTGACCAACCAAGTCTCATGTAGGGCAAGATCAAGGGGCTGTGGGAATCCAAGAGGTTCTCTTTCCCTGTATGGAGCAGATCCTTCTAGTGTTCACCGATATCTGGTTCTTCTCACCTTTTTAGGTTCAAACTGAAGTTAAATTTCCTAGCTCTCTCTGCATTTAGGTGGAACTATGTGACTGAGTTTTGGCTAGTGGAGTGTGGAAGGAAGTGATATATGCCGCTTTCTGGCCTGGTAACAAAGTGTTCTCTCTCTTCCTCTCCTCTCCTGCCTTGGATCATGCCAGGGTGATCTTGGAAATACAAGATGATGGAGATATGAAATGGAAGGGACCTGGATCCCTGAGTCACCACTTGGAGAGCACTCACAGGAGAGCAGTCCAACCAAGATCATTAGCTTTGAATTTTGTATAAGCAAGAAATAAACTTGTGTTAAGTCACTTCGATTTGAGGTTGTTTCTCACAGTAGGTAGCCTACCTTCATACACTGTATCTTGAACCTGCTTCTCCCCACCCCCGCCATCATTTATCTCTTGCATTTCTTCTTTCTCCACCTTCTTATCACTATGATGGCGGAAAAAGGCCACCAGCAACAGTAGCCAAGGTGACCTCTCTTCCATTCAAGGGAACAGCCTGATTGCAGAGGGCAATTCCACAGAAAAATGGTGCTTGGCAGCCCCAAACCTACTGACCGCAGTGTTCCATGCTTGAGGCGGCCATTTTCAAAAAGAATCAGGAGGGGCACTGTCAGAGAACGACTGCCATAACCTGCCTTCTTGCAGCCAATGGAAATGGGGCATGCAAATGAGCAGGACAGGAGTGAGGCCCAGGGATTGGCCGAGCTGCTGCGCACGGGGAGGGCCTCCACAAAGAGGGCAGGGCCTCCTTCCAGGGGCTGCCCTTAAAGTGGGAGCAGGTTCGCACCCTGGACCTTGCCCAGGGGTGAAAGTCCCCCCTGGGCTCTGGAGGACTCACTGCCAAGAAAGAAAGGGAAAAAGGAACATGGGGAGAGCGAAGACATATTTTTCTTCTTAAATACCCCCAAAAGAATGAATCTCTAAGGACGGCTTTGCAGTCATCAAGCAATAATTTCTGTTTTGGAGCTGGGTAGCTTTTCCCAGTTGCCCCCAAATGATACAGCTTTAATGCGACAATATCGCCCCTCTTGTGTTGGTTGGGAGCCACAGGGTTAGGGCTGCAAGTACTGGCCATGCGAGACACAACAGAGCCACACCAGGCGCAACAACTGTGCTATTATCTGCTGTAGGTAAGGGGTGAGAATCATCATCTCAAGTGTTGGTACTTAAGAGTGTGATGCAGGAAAGTCAATCAAGTGACCTCGGTATGCTGCCGCGAGATATGGGAGACAAAAATAGGAGTTTGAGTCTCCCCAAAGCAAGACGCTCCCAGTATGCTCTCCTTTAGCTAGCAGATAATCCTGTCTGACGTTAGGCCTCAGCTCCAGCACATCTTGTGGGAATAGCCCACTGACACTTAGGATTGGGCTACCTCTCCTTTGTGCTCTATTATAACACCTACATGGGCTTTGGTTTATTAAAATAACATTTTTCTACTTTAATTGCAAACATTAAAATGTTACTGCTACAAACTTTGGGAAGTCCAAATAAGTTCCAAAGAGAACATAAAAATCTTCCCATTATTCCACTATCTGGGGGAATGTATGCACACATACCCACTTCTAAAAATTGTTGACTTTGTACTTGCTTTTCTCTCTTAACAATATGTCATGTAGAATTTCTCATTTACTTACAATATGATTTTTAATGAATATGTAGTAGCTTATGGATTCTCATAATTTATTTAACCAAATGTTTGTTGTTGGACATTTATGATTGTTTCTAATTTTTCATTGTAGTAAATGAATTCCGTTCAAGTCTGCCCCATTCAAGAGAATAGCCTGATTGCAACTAAGCAGATTCGTATGTAAATCTTTGCATACTTCTCTGGTTATTTCTTTTAGATAAAGATCTAGAAATAGAGTTGCTGGATCAGGAAGTATACAAACAAGATCCAGAGGCAAGAAAGCAGAGAGATTTGCTATCTTGGGTCCCTTTCTAAGAAAGAAGAAAATCTTCCCAGGCATACACTGCCCTCCCCACCCAACCTGACCTAGCAGGTTTCCCGAATGTCTCATGGACAAAATTACATCACATGCATATGCAGAAACCAGGTGCTGACAAGGCTAGTGAAACTATGTGATTGGCTTAAACCACCTAGATGTGTCCTTAGGATTCAATACTTAAGACAATTGTTGTTGTTGTTAGTAAGGAAGATTTGGGAGTAGCTGTTGTATAGGAACCAAGTCCCTTCCATACTATTAATAGCTATAGGAAATTAAAATGTTTAAAAGCCTTTTCTAATTTGATAGGTGCCAGAGAGCTCTTCATTGTCATCTTTCTTTATATTTTTTGAATTACTGGTAGGTGTGAATAATTTTTCAAATATTTATTGGTCATTGTATTTTTTCTGTGATTTTCGGAATCATATTATTTCATATATCACACATGCACATTCTTTCCAAAGTGACTGTGTTTTATTTTTTGCATCTCACAGAGCCCCAGACTGTGTCCACCATAAAATTGGTACAAAGTAAAGGCTTGTCAGGTGGATGAATGCCTACATATATATGTGCGTACACATGGTTCTATGTGTATTTTGTAGTAATAAGTAAGAATAGGTGGGAGAGTGGTTCACAGTACAGTTGGCCTATAAAGACTGAAAAGCTGTGGGAAACAGATTTAAGGCAGCCTGGGAACAAAATAAGACATCAGGCAGTCATGTCCAAAATTCAGCTTTCTGTTCTATTAGTTTAATGCATTTTCCATTGGCTAGCTTTTGAATTAATTTTACAATGACCATGACAATGCCATCTGTAAGTAAGCTGAAAGATCTTTGATGGGTTATAGGGGAAAAAAATCTATCACCTGGAGGGAAAGAAAAACAAAACCAAAGCCCAGATATTAAATATAGAATTGTTCCCCCTGACTCCAGGCCTATTGTTAGTGAATCCTTGGGTAATTATCACCCAGTTTTATGAACATGAATTTGCAGTTAGGAGAAATTGGTTGCTCGAGGCTTAAATTACCGAGAGAGAGCAATGGCAAGAAATGTCAGCCTATTGCTGGATAATACGATAAGTCACCAGTTTGAATCCTGAGGTTAATGGAAACCAAAGAAGTGGGAGGAATTCCCAAAAACTTCTGTTGATAATGGGAGCTTGGAAGTTTGTCTTATAAACCCAGGAGCTTAAAGTTCTGAATGAGGAAAGTTTTTTATCTCATGGTTAAAAATAAAAAAGGAATCTTTTTTATTTAAGGATAAAAAGCAAGAGCTGCCTTCTATGGAGCCTTAAATAAGTGAATCAGGCCTCCTTTTTATGTGGCTATTGAGCTCCGTGAGCACAGTGATGAATCAGCATCGTGTCCAGGTAATGAATAATTATGCACCCTTTGGTCCATCAATAACCAATTACCTGGTTATGTTAAAATAATTAATCTTCATGTGGAAATAGTTATTTAGATTTGTAATAATTGATAATGCTATTAAATTGGCTTTTAGAGTAATTTATCTAAATCTAATTCTTTTTATGCTTATGGTTAGTATATATATATTTTTTATCTTAAGGAATGTGCATCAAAGCATTCTTTTTTCTCAGTAATTAAAAATTGAAATGACTTTTGCATGAAGCAGATGTGGACCATTCAAGGGCTGTGTAATAGATTGGGAAATTCTATAATTGATTGCAAAATTCTATAATACTCCATCATCTTGACAGGAGAGAAATCAGTGACAATGACGAGCTGATGAGAATCGTAAAGCACATAAATGTTGAAATTCGTTTATTTCCCTTGGCACTCGGGTATGTGAAGAGATCACAGAAACATGTTGAGAAGAAAGAGACCATACAATTCTGCAACCTTGTCCCCCTTCATGCTGGTCTCATGTGTGAGTCTTTGACCATGGGGTAGTAATCCCTGGAGCCCAAACCCTGCCTGCTCATTGTGCAATAATGTTCACAAGTGGAGAATTAACTTTGGACTGATGTTACGGACTGAATGTTTGTGTCCCCCTAAAATTCATATGTGGAAGCCCTAACCCCCACTGCAATGGTATTTGGAGGTGGGGCCTTTGGGAGGTAGTTAGGGTTTCATTAGGTCATAAGAATAGAGTCCTCATGATAGGATTAGTGTCCTTAAAAGAAGAGGAAGTGACACCAGAGCCCTCCCTATGCCATGTGAAGACACAGTGAGAACCAGCTGTCTGAAAGCCAGGAAGAGGGCCCTTCCAGCAACAGAATCAGCTGGCACCTTGATCTTGGACTTCAAAGCCTCCGGAACTGTGAGAAATAAATTTGTGTTATTTAACCCATTTCCGGTCTATAGTATTTTGTTATGGCAGACTAAGACAGAATGAAATCTAGGCTTCTGAGCATTATAATAAACAAATTGGATTTCTCAGGGGAATTGTCCCATGACAGTACCTTTTCTCATATTCATTTCTTCCCTCATTTTTATCAGCAACCAGCATCACACCTCATCAGCAATTATAGGACATGTAAGTTGGCTTCATTACTTTGTCGAATAAACATTTTTTTAAGCATATACTCATGTAACCATGCTGGCCTTAAGCTTTGAATAGGATACAAAGAAGAATGAACACCAGTCAGTGCAATTGAGACTCTTAACAATCTACATGTAAGTTGTACATAAAAAAAAATAAATGAGGAAAGACACAAAAAGGGCTGAACTGAATCAGGAGCTGTGAGAACCCAGACAGTGAGATTTCCAGAGGATTCCAGCAAAGCTTTCAAGTGGGGGCTGTGGGGGGGACATTTGAGTTTTACTAAGCAATAAAAATGCATGGGAAAATTCATATTACTACTTTAATGTTTTGGATTGTGTAAGTTATAAAAAATATAAACATGCTGAAAAATACAGAAAATATTATAGATGTCTGTGTATCCACTATCCAAATTTAATAATACAGGTAAACTTTGTTTTAAAAATATCCCCCTCACTCTTGTTTTTAATTTTTAGAAATAAAATGTAATAGTTACAGCTGAAGTCCCATCCTTCATCCCTTTATCTTTTCCTTATACAGAAGTAATATCTATCTATCATGAAACTGATGAGAATCACCACACGTTTTTGAATGCTTATCATGTAGATAAGTACTATGCACACCTAGTATTTTTATATGCATTTTTTTTAAATGCACATGATAGTATTCCTCTAAAACTTGCTGTTTTCATGTAACCATATGTTTTTGAGAATTATTCACACGTAGATTGTTCTCCCACTTTCTTGAATAGGGGCTATAGATCAGTAATGTAATAAACATTCTTATGTTTTGTGCACTTGAAGGAGTATTCTCTAGTTTAGGTGTCTAGAAATGGAATTTTTAAACACCATTTTAAAGTAACTCTTTGACTGCATTTTAATCATTTCAAGAAGGTGCTGTTCCTACCTAGGAAATTGCTTCACCACTTGAACACAAACTTTGATATGAACCTTGTCAGTAACAATAATAAAACGACAGGATCGTTATTTGTTGGGGCTTCCTATTTACCTGGCACTGTTATAAGTGGTTTACATGAATTTACTAATTAAATATTTGTAAAATATACATTCAGTATATGATCATGTGGATAACACACCAATCCTTTAACTTTACTGATTGGGCAGGAGGAGTCCCTCAAACTCATAGGCAGGATGGCTGAGAACATCTAAAGCAGTTGTTCTTGGACTCTAATGTGCATCAGAATTACCTGGAAGGATTGTTAGAATGCTGAGTCTTATTCCCGGAGGAGTTTCTGACTCAGCAGGCCTGGGGTGGGGCTCAAGAATATTCATTTCTAACAAGTTCTCAGGTGAAGCTTGTGCTGCTGACCCAAGGACCAGACTTTGAGATCTGGCCCCAATATCAATTGTCACAAATCCTTAGGCATGAACATAATGAAATCAATCAACCCTCCCTCCATTCTTTCACCCTTCTCCTCTTCCCTTTTTCTCTCTCTTTTTCTGTATCTCATTCCACAAACATTTATTTAATACATAGCACCAAGCTGGGTGCTATGAAAAAATCAAATGATGACTATTGAGTAGTACCCATTAAAGAAATATTTAGAGATGATGCCAAATAAGAGTTTCTGGCTTCAAGTACCTTTCATTTTATCTAAGGAAACATTCACACATAAAAATTTAAATAACAATACCAGACTGTGATTAAATGGCAAATGAAAGTTATAGAGAATACTCAGGTACCTCATAATAATCTTTGTTAATAAGTATATAATTTCCCATTTACAAGGTGCTATCTTAATTTTTTCCTAGTAAGAATATCCCTGTAGCACGTTCAAGCAGAAATTTAATAGAGTGCAGGTTTAGACACTTTAACAAAGACCAACTCAACCTGGTTTAAAAGAAGATAAAAGTTTATTTCTCACATGGCTAGCTGAAGGTAGAGATCCAGAAAGGTCTATATTTCAGCTTCCGGAAAGGGGAAAGGAAAATACAGGGCATGCTCCCTTTTTATGGGCTTAACTGAGACATTACATACATGACTTCAGCTCACATCCCATTGGCCAGAGCTCAGTCATATGATCACATCCAGCTGTAAAGGAATCTGAAGCACAACGTTAGCTGGGTCGCCATGTTCCCAGCCCAAACTTGGGAGTTCCCTCACTAACCACGGATGAGGAGAATGGACGTTAGGGAAAAACAATGGTCTTTGCCTAAGATTTACAATCCATTTTTATAGATGTAGAAAACAGAAGAACAGAGAATGTAAATGACTTGTCCATAATTGTATGGACAAGTCCAATAACTGGTGGATTTGGTATTGAAGTTCTGGGTTTTTTGTTTTGACAAGTCTAATGGTCTTTACCTTCTATTAAACTCTCCAGGTGTAAATCTATTCTATTTTAAACAACCTATAAAAAAAATATGATGTTGGTTTTCTATACATGTCCTTGTAATCCTCATTGTTAAAAATATTTTTCTGGGAGCAAATTAAGGTTCTATTTACTGCAGTTTCAAGCCACTCTATTTTATTTAACCAACAATATAATAGTATACAATATTAAAGGCTCACTGTCTGCTTTCTGTCCAGACCCTAAATTTTCACCTGACTCTTGCAGGATCTTTTAAGTGTTCATAACGTCCAGCAAATGGGATTCATCCATTGATATGGGATCAAGGAGACTGAAAATACTTAGGCATTTTGAACCCATTCCAAATAATGCTTCCTTGTCAATATCTCAGAATATGCAATCATTACTGGGATTGTGTTTTTTCGATTTTAAGTAATGTAATAAACATTCTTATATTTCGAGCACTTGAAGGAGCATTCTCTAGTTTAGGTGCCTAGAAATGGAATTCAGTGCCAAGCACTGTAGTAGTTTGTGTGGGGGGTGTCTGCGTGTGGAGGTGGGGTAGGGGCA